TACTTCCTTCGGAAAATCACCACCGAAGGAGCTCCCACCACCTTACTCTTCTCTAAACAGTGCTCCACCACCCTATCACCTCCATCATCACCCCAATCACCATCACCCCCACCACCATCACCTCCACCACCGGCAGAGTGCTCTGCCACGCTGAACGCCGCCGACTGTACGCCGAACCTCAAAATCTCCGCCGACTGTCTCTCTGTCCGCAACGACCACTACGACTCTCACTACTGGCAGAGTGTCCGCTCTACAGTGGCCGTACGTGGTGGCGGTGGTGGTGACCAGGCAGTGTACTACTACGAGGTGACACTGCTCACCAGCGGCCGAATGCGCTTTGGCTGGGCCACAGCCAACAGCAGCCTGGAGAAGGTGGCCGCCATCGGCGACGATGAGTTCTCCATTGGCTTTGACGGCTTTGAGGGGACCGTCACCAATGACGCCGTCCAGTTCGAGGTGGGCGCACTGAAAGGTCGCTGGAAGCCCGGCGACGTGGTCGGCTGTCTGATAGACGGGGCGAGGCGAAAGTTCAGCTTCTACCTCAATGGCGAAAAGATGAAGTACCGAGGACTGTCCGTCTTCAAGTCCGTCTTCTTCAGCAGTCAGCCGTACTACGCCGCCGTCAGCCTCTTCCTGCACCAGCAGTGCGCCGTCAACTTTGGCCAGGAGCCATTTCGAAATGCGCCCAAGCGAGTCGACTACCAGGACTTTGCCCGCAGTCAGGTGCTGGCCAGCAGCAGCAGTGCAAAGCTTCCCGTTCGAGTGTCCCACTCCATTCAGGCGGGCAATCTGTGCGGCCTGTGCAAGAGCAATGAAGCGACCTTCAAGTTTTGCCGGTGTGACCACTGGGAGCTGTGCTCAAAGTGCGTCCCTAAACTGACTGACTGTCCAATTTGCGACAGTTAAGGGTATCCATCACTAGCACCACCTTTGTATTAAATAACAACGTTGTTAGACAGCAGTAATTTACACAAATAATAAAGATCAATCAATCACTCAATGATGAAGTTGTTGTTGGCTGCTAATCAAGGTGGACGTTGAGCATCTTCTTGACAGCGAGCACGACGTCCTCGGCCACCGGCAGAGCATTCGCCTCCAGCGACTTTGCGTACGGCATGGGCACGTCGGCGCCGGTCACTCGTATCACCGGAGCGTCGAGGTAGTCAAAGACGGGACCTAGGGGTGGAGAGAAACGAAAGAAAAAAGAAGCATCGTCAAACGATGTAGTGTTCAACAAAAAAAACACAGACACTTACTTTCAATGACACGAGCGCAGATCTCCGAGCCGACGCCACTCTGCGGCCATCCGCTCTCCACCGTCACCAGGTGATTGGTCTTGGCGACGGAGAGGGCAATCGTCTCAAAGTCCATCGGACGGATGCTTCGCAGGTTGATCACCTCGGCGCTGATGCCCGAAGAGGCGAGCGCGGTGGCAGCCTCCAGAGCCGTGCCCACCGACTTGGAGAAGGCGACAATGGTGACGTGGCTGCCGGGCAGTTCAACCTTCGCCTTGCCAATCGGCAGGAGGTAGTCGGTGGACAGGGCCTCACTGCCCACCTCAAAGGGCACACCGTAGAGGATTTCATTCTCGAGGAAGACCACCGGATCTGGATCACGAATGGCCGCCTTCAGCAGGCCACGGGCGTCCTCCGAAGAGTAGGGCGCCAGCACCTTCAGCCCGGGACAGTGAGAGTACCAGGCGGCGAAACACTGCGAGTGCTGGGCGGCCACTCCGGCAGCGGCGCCATTCGGACCGCGAAAAACGATGGGCACGTTGATCTAAAGATGTTGTTATTGGTCAAAAAGATACAAATTCCCTCAGAGTTCACTTCACTCACCGAGCCAGCAGACATGTAGAAGGTTTTCGCCGCCGAGTTGATGATGTGGTCGATGGCCTGCATAGCAAAGTTGAAGGTCATAAACTCGCAGATGGGTCGAAGGCCGTAGAAGGCGGCGCCGACGGACATGCCGGTGAAGCCGGCCTCGGTGATGGGCGTGTCGATGACGCGGCGGTCGCCGTACTTGCGCCACAGTCCCTTGGTCACCTTGTAGGCGCCGTCGTACTGGGCCACCTCCTCGCCGATGATGAACACTCGCTCGTCGCGTTCCATCTCCTCGTCCATGGCCGAGTTCAGGGCGTCACGAACGGTCATCTTCACCTGACTGGCGCTGGACAGCGAAAAGTGACGCTGGGGCTTGACCAGTCGCCCGCCAACTGAGCCACTAAGCTTGGCAACAGAGCGACTGAGGAACATGGTAGTACTGTTGCCGGAAGGTAAGGAATCCCTGAGGACAAGTGAAAGAAAAGTTGGTTGATGAGAAGCGTTGTCAAATGAAGCAAAGAAAGCTGCCAATGAAATGATGACAACAAATGAGCAGCAAGCAGAGGCAAAACAATGCGTCAGCTGTTCAATCAACTTTTCAGGAAAATTCTGAAACATTTTTTAGTTGGTTGACATGCCAACTGTGTGTGGTTGCATAACATGCTGTTTTATTGGTTTGCCCTGTTTTTTAGAAGCTATCTTTTAGTGGTGGTGGTTTGACGCCTATGCAGAAGAAAGGCAAGCAAGCAAACGATGAACATGAGGAGTGGCAACAGGAAGAGGGATGATGCCGGCGAAGACGACGGAGGAGGTCGCAGAGATGGCACCGCTTTGAGAGGGAGTATGTCCACCATGGAGACGTTTTTGGGCAGTGAGCTGAGGTACACATCGCCCAGGTAGTCGTACTTGTGTTTGTTGTGCACGAAGAGCTGCGCTGAGGAGAGGCCGACCAGTGCACCAGCGATGCCGATGATGACCAGCTGCAGAAGTCGGCTGTAGCTTGCGAAGAGGGCGTTCTGAAAGAGCTCACTCGAGCTCTTTGCTCTCACTGGTTTTCTGCTATTGTTTGCCTGTTTCAACTGATCAGATAGCTTAGGAGCACTTGAAACAGTAGCAGCTAACAGCAGGGAGATTATTAAAAAGAGTGTTCTGATGCAGTAAATTGAGTTCATCTGTTTCAGAGTGGCTCAAATGGAATTCAGTTGTTTTTGCAGTCAAAAAACTACAGTAGTAGAACTTTGCCTTCTCGAAGCATTGTTACCCTTATAAGTTTCCCTTCAGCAGTCTACTTCAGCTTACGGCCATATCATGTTGAGCACACCGGTTCTCGTCCGATCACCGAAGTTAAGCAACATCGAGCCGAGTCAGTACTTGGGAGGGTGACCACCTGGGAACACTCGGTGCCGTAAGCTTTTTGCATCCGTTTTTATTTTGTTTTCTAGTTTACTGCACCCTTTACTTGTTGCACCAGAAGCGCTTACATCTTTTCTTATCATTAAGTTCCGCATCATCATTCTTACTCTTTCTGCAGAAGGAAAAAAACTTGCCGCTTGAGCGCATGAGCGCTGCAGAAGCTGAGCACGTAAAAAATCAAAACAAACACTTTTTCTCTCGTGAAAACAACAGACAAACAGTGCCTTGAATTAAAGAAGCTTACTTTTAATCCGATTATAATTCCTTCCTTCCATAATGGCCTCTGTAAATGCTCACCTTGTTTGGCCTCTTCTGGTTCGTCCTACACTATCGACAATCCGCAAGAAAAATGCAGAAGTCGCCAATTCGTTGACTATTGCTCTTGGAAATGCCGAAAACACCGACCCAGGGTTCCTTCATGATCTGTTAATCGCACTTTACAACAACAACAACATCAAAAGGGACAATGAATCTTCATCACTAAACATGACCGAGTCTTTACTGCACGCTCAAGGTCGTCTTTCAAACGAAGGCTTCCAACCATTTACCCTCAATCCACATGTTCAACAACTGGTAGAGCGAACGTTCATCCTCAAAAAGCTCCTCGCTCGAGTGCCAAATGAAGTTCTAGATCGCGCCGTCTTCTTGGGCACTATCAAGGAGATTGCCAGTGCAATTAAAAAAATACTCGATTCACTTGATAGCTTGATAGCTGAACTGCCCGCCGAAGAGAGACGCTTAATTGAGCACCGGAAGCGGCTGCTGGTGAAGAACGCCAAACAGTTCAGTCAGGCACTCAAATTCTACTTCAAGGGCAGTCTGGATGTGAATGACATATTCAACAGTGCCGCTCAACTCATCTACGATGTTCATCTAATTGAAAAACTGTGCCACGCCAGATCAACATCTAGATAATCTCATATATCACTGTAGAGTCTCAACTAATTTCGATATTTTACTCCATAAAAAATCGTCGTACAATGCCTACTCATCACCGGCGGACTACAGCTACTGAATTCACGGCCACTGAAAACAAAACAAGAAGGACTTTGATCGAGTTTAAAATTGGAAACACAGCCCATTGGAGTTGATCATGCTCGAGTTTAAACATGATGCTGCTGTTAGTGTAGACAACACAACACACAGACTGACACAATGGAACAATAAAGATGTAAAAAGGAAAAAGAAATGCAACAATCAGTGGACACACGCACGGACACCACTCCTAACAAGCTGTCAATGACACATTACAGAGGGCGGCCTGGAGGGGAACACCCAACGGCCTGTGTGAGTTTCTTCTTGGGGGAGAGATTTCTGGAGAGAAAGATTTCAGTTCCAGACACAAAGTCTCACTCTCAATTACAAAGCAGACAGAAACAGTGGCGGTGGTGGTGGTGGTCACCACTTTGAGCAGAAGCTCTTTTCGGCAGTGCTGCTGCTGCTGCAGAGAAACGAGGTCGCCGTGGCCAGCAGCAGCAAACCGGTCTTCAAGTCTTAAGTCGCCGTTTCTGCTCCGTTAGATGATGGTCCAGGTAGGCAGCAGAAAGGCAGGCAGCCAAGACGCTGAGTCGATCCACTTGCCACACTGTCCTCCTTTGTCGTGTTGTGGAAAAACTAGAAGAAGACAGCAGGAGATTGCACCGTTTGCACATCAACAGCTCACTTTCACTGACCACAAAAGACTGACCCCCATCTCTTTACAACTTTTTTTTGATTGTCTGGAAAAGAAGCAGAAGAAGCAGATGAAAATGAAAAACCCGGCTTGAAACAGGGGCATTCTCACTTTCTCTGTAGCATCCTCTCACCTGTACAACAGTGTTCTCTCACTCTTCCTGTGATATTTTTTTATGCACCTTCTCAATGGTTGCATCATCATAATGAGCCCGCTTAGGTCCTTCCCCCGCCCACATGCCATCTTCATAGGCCTTTTACTTTTCACAGGTACTGGGTGCTTCATCTTGAAAGTGCCTTTTTAATTTAATGTAATTCAATTTCACAGATCTTTTACTGTCCGCTTCCGGTGACAATGGACAGGTCAACGGACAGGAGTACAAGGGCGCCTTCATTGGGAAGTTCAGCTCATACGCTCACCAGGTGGCCGGTGATGTGTACGCCATTGATGAGTACACCTTTCTCATTAAGGACTTTTTCTACGACGGACTGGCCACTGGTC